GCCAGCCAGTGAATGTATCGAATACACCCGCACCTCCCTCCTCCACAGGATAAATAAGCAAGCACACTCATACATTTTGGCGGAACACCTGGCGGGAGAGCTCACTCTATAGGATATCAGAAATTGTGATATTTTTGTTATTGACAGGAAATGGAGATACTAGCAAGAACGGGATTATAAAATAGCAGAAGTTAGGTTCCAGGCTGGATTGGTTTGGGAAGCTCCAGGTGAGGTGGTTCCATCCGTAGCATCAATCATGCAAGCAACATGTAACTAACCCACAGACTCCTTGACGGAGTTGACACTTCACTTCAGCATACAACCACAACTACAATGCCCACGGCAACGTCACAGCGACGGTGGAGCGAGACAATGGGTCGAAAGACGGACTGGGCTTAAATCAATCTGCCACTGATGTGTTGTAATTACTGTATATTAGTATTTGATTTAATCATTCTCCATGGTTGTTTGACACTGATAGATTGTATGCATGCCTGTACGGAGTATGTAAGCTGCAGGGTTAGTGAAAGTCGAAACTGATTGACGGACTCTAAACCTTGCCTCCTTTTGTATGTATGTACAGTACAATAACTATGTTATTAACTACACATAGGGAGAGCATTCATCAATCTTTCAAAGAACTCAAGCAAAGAACAAGACCATTGTTTGCCTGGCTGCAGATTAGATGGAACAAAATCAGCTGCTTTGTGGCGGTGTGTTCTGTATATAGAATGCGAAGATGCAGCAGGCCCACAGAGAGAAGAGAAATAGAGACATTCCAGGAACAATCCTGGATAGCTGTGCATGACACTGTTTTGCACTCTTGTACTCCGTACTCCGTACTGTAGTTACTAACTAGTACACAAGTCAGGCTGATGATTGTCTGCAGATCGGGCAGCGGCTTGTCCCTCGAGATCTCTGTGCTGGGACAATGGACAGCTATATAACATGCATACATACAGGGCCTCGTCATAATTGTCAGTGCAGCTTTCCGGATCCATGGGACGGATGAAGGCACAGGACATTGCAGTAGCAATTGCAACGGAAATAAGCTTCTTTCTATTTAATTTTATTTCATTTTTTATTGATTTATTTTGCTACCTATACCACCCATCAGTTGTCGGTATTATTTCTCCTTCCATCGGGCTAAAGACAGATGCAGTATGCATGAGGCAACTAGGGGGTGGCGTGGAACAAGTTGATTGACGGTGGTTTGGGATAATATCCCCTGACATGGGCTCTGTTGGTTGGTGAAAGCAACCAGCGTGTTGATGATGCAGACGGAGTCGAGCTGCAGAAGCTCACAGAGCTTTGAATGAGCCTTTTTTGTTTTTTCTTTTCTTTTTTTTTTTTTTTTTTGGCGAACCTGCATCCTCTGGACAGGAACAAGCAGCGCCTGCATGCGCATCCCTGTAGCTGTAGCCCAGTATCTCGACGGGAACGGAATGCGCGAGTATCTTTCACTTTTTATGGCTTGGGTCTTGCCGTCGGTTGACAGAGGAACCCGGCCATCCATTGATTCATGGACTCGATGTTTGGTTTTCAGAGAAATTAAAAAAAAAGAGAAGGTTAAATGTTATATTCGAGGAATTTCCCCGATTGCCTGGGCCCCCTCGCAACTTAACCTCGTGGAAGCACAATTTCAATCGACCAATTCCAACAATGTTATGTGACTCCGTCCTGTATCCACACCTACGTTACTTTACCGCCAGCAGACCGGCAGACCAGCAAAACCAGCTCATCCATTCATCCATTCATCTCCTCTCTGAGAATGAGATCTCCGCCGCCGCAACACCGCACCAAATGGTACGGTAACGGTAACGTATTAACGCTTTGTAAGAAACCAAAAATGAAGGAGCAGCAGGGAAAAAGAAAAAAGAAAAATACCGAGTCATATCACGCGCCACAAACGCGCGAACGCGACACGTCCAAACTAACCAATCATATTTCACAAGCTGACTGACATTTTCGCGTTTCGAGCCGCGCTCTGACGCCAGGAACACGCGCGCGCGCGCATTCCCGACGTGTGTTTTTCGCGCAAAGCACCCGTTTTAGGAGAAGAATAGAACAGGAAAAAACAAAAACCAAGCGGGTTGTTTTCGGCAAGGGAACTAGTATTCGATACAGTACATATGCGCACGGAAACCCTGCGACGACATAACGTACGGTAAAAAAACAACTTTTTTTAAAAGACGGCGGAATAGAGGACTGCCCTTGGTGGATTGTCGGGGCGGTTTCGAGGCAGGAAGTTCGAAGAAGGGCGTTTCTTTCCTTTGGGCATCAAAGAGTAAACCAGGGCCCGCTGAGATTTCTTCTTTTTCTTTCGCTTCCTTTTCTTGGGTGAGGAATCAAGATGGAATCTGCTGCAGGAGATGGATGATATGGAAACTTTACGTCATGGAAAGCCGGCTCTGGGAAGCTTCGTATCTGCGGGGATGGTACCGAAGAACTCTGTAATTGGTACGGATTAATCAGCATGCAGAACACAATGTTCCTTCAACAGCTTTCTTTCTTTATTGTCTTCCCGCTAGCACCGTTGTTGGCCCGACATGGGGCTTGGTAAATGCAAGGTAAACTACGGAGTACGCCACGACGGGGCTGTCCGTTTAGCACACAAGACAGCGCAAGATGCGTCCATGGAAGCAGCCTCAGACACCTTCGAAGGGAAAACAATTCATGGAGAAGAACTTTGAAGAAGGAATGAAGTTCTTGTTTGATGTGTGGCTGGTTGGATAGATAGTCATTTTATGACGATGAGAGAATCCGGGTGTCTGGGAAAGTGGGAAACCTGTGCTTGGATTGGGGTTTCAGCCAGAATGGCGGAATCAATGGACAGAGGCAATGGGCAGCAACTTGGATTCTTGTACATCTGTAGAGAAAACATAGATAGCGCATTGGGACAGATTATAACGAGCTGCACGGAGTACTCCGTACTTGAGAGGGATATTTCACTGGATTTCGCTGCCCGATATTTTTGGAGATGTCGAGATGTCCAATTCAATACACTGGAGCATTACACTGGAGGCACTCCACCACAGTACGTAGGGCGTAAAGACACTGTAAAGACGCTGAAATGCATCGGGTGGTACCTGTTCGCACCGCCAAACCTTGGTGTGGCCACTGGTCACGCCCGGTGGATGCCCTTTTCGTGCCCACTGTTCCCAGCCATCGCCCGGCCCATGCCAAGGCACGAGGCGACTCCCTCCACAACCTCCACGACGCCCAATTCCACATCCACCTCCTCCCGCCTCCCGCCTCCCACCGACATCCCACACCCCATTTGATATTCCTTTCTTCCTAGTCGTATTATTTTATTTTCCTGGAATTCTCATTAGCTGAGCAGGGCGGTGTCTGCTCACTCGAGACGGCCGCCTCATCTCAGAGGTTGTTCCCGTCCGCGCCGCCGCTTACCCCGTCCTCCTGACTAACTTACCTCCACGATCTGTCGCTATCCCCAAGTCCTCGCCTGGTGCTGCCCTTAACATAGATTGACTCCTGTGCTGGACCTTCTTCACCTTCTCCTCCGTTCGTTCAACTCTCCAAATATCCCTTTCTTCATCCGATTCAGTTCTCCAATTCTCTCTCCCTGTCAATCAATCACGCACCCCCAACTTCATCAATCAACCTGCGCCAAGTGGTCTCTACCTAGGACCTTGTTCGCTTCGGTCCGTTCAAACGCGAACGAACGATTTTTAGTTCTTATTCCTGAACGTGCCGTCATTTCAGCGGTGTGAGGGGACCCTGAAGAACGTCGCAGGCCTGTTTAGCCCTTTTCTAGTCCTTTTTCATCCTTTTTTAATCCTTTCCTCTGCCGCCCCAGCCATCCATTTCTCCCCTGCTCTCTGCATCCCACGAGCCCACTCCCGCCCGAAGGAGGACTCGACAACTGGGCCAGCGGGCACGATCCTCCTCTTTTCTCCTCGTCAACCGCTGCACTCCCCCGCCGCCCTCCTATACCGGGCCCCTCTTATCCTCCAGTGCTCAACTCCTCTCTGGCTCTCTCTCTCTCGCGCGCGCTCCTTCCCCTCTTGGTCGCATTTTGGCTTCGAGTTACTTGTCCCCCTCTCGCCCTGGACAAGCCAATTCAACTTTTGCGGTCAATTTGCCAATTGATCTGGATCCGACCGGCCATTTTCAGACCTTCTCGTCGTTTCCGTCGCTGCGACGTTGGAGCCCGTTCGTTTTAAAACAAACGCTCTTTTTTGGAACAGTCAATTCCCATAAACGAACGTCCGACGCGATACCCTCCCCCCTCCTCTTTTCGTCCCAACCTTTACTTTTTTGGTTCTCCTTTTTTGTCGCTGGCCACGATGCTTGCCAATTACTGCGATTCCTGATAGCGAAACCATATGCGGGTGCGACTTGGCCGTCTCTCATCCACAATAACACACCCGTTCTTAACACCCACACACCACGACACTCACAACTACTCGGCCCTATTAAATTCTCCCGATTCTTATCATCCAGACATTATTATAACGAGAACCACGACTGCCAAACTGGCGACACTGCGGATCTATATTTCTTATTAACACGACTACATGTTCTTTTCCTTTGTTCAACCCAATCCCTTGCCATTGCCATCTTTGGTCGGATTTTGAACCCGGGAAAATCACGTTGTGATGTGTTCTTTTTCTTGCGTTCTGCTGGACAATGTACAATTGAGAGCTTAGGGATTTTTTTTTAAAAAAAATTTTTTTTTTTAATTTTATACCTCACGCATCAACGACGATCGTACTTCGACATCTTTATAATAGTCATATCTTTTGCTATTTTGAGATGTACATGGACTGAAAAACGAGGACTACGAAATAACGCGACTACGATTTGATCTTCTGGGCAAACTTATTCACTACTACTTTCGTTGAATAGGTTTTTTCTTCTCCATTCAGCTATCAATTGCCGAACCATTCACCATTTGTTTGGACGTCCATCACCCTGAGAAAAATCAATAAAAAGATAAAAAGATATTAAAAACAGTTTCAAAAAGGAAAAAAAACATGGCCTACAGGCAACCAGGGCTGTCCCGGACGCTTCCCAAGGACTTCACATTTTACGCTGGAGATGAAGAAAATCGACCTAGGACTCCAGATCGACCGACCAAAGAGCTGACCATCCCGCCGCCGCCCCACCATTCTTCATGCCGGTTCCGCAGACCTCGACTCACCATCTCAACCCAGCGCGAACTTTTCTGCTCACCAGATATTCCATTGCCATCAATCGAGCTCTCGCACGATCCGTCGGCCTCTGTAGCTGGCATTTTTGACGGTGCCGTGACTCAACCGATGACTGAGAATGCACTTCAAGTTCCACCGCGAGGCAGGGTCGATCCTAGAACGCCTCCAGCTCAAATCCGGGGCACCCCTGTTGACGAAAGGCCTTGCTGGACTTATGGCGATACAGGAGACTGCAGTCATCCCATACCACGACCATCGTCTGCTTGTTCCAATTTCTCGGATTCTTCTGCTGCGTCTTCTACATCTTGCATGTCGTACGCGTCGATGGGAGGAAGTTGCACGAGCCCAGAAAAGCGAAATCCAGGATCCTTTCATTTCGTATCCCTTCACCAGCTGCAAGCAAGAGCCGGAGACTCGTTCCAAGCCCAAATATCGTCCACGGGAAACCTGGTAAGACACCAACTACCAGACCGAGATGGACTTCCGAGATGGACAACCACCTGTGGAATACGTATCAAATATATCTACAGGATCCCAGAATCACCCCTTTCAAAATGGTTCCGGGGAGTTTACCCCCTTTGGGAGTCTCTCATCGCGTTGCCCGCGAAGCTAGGAAAGCTTGGTCTAGAAAAAAAGGCCCTGTTCAAAGGAAAGGTCCTTCAACAGTAACTTCCGTTTCTGGTCCTGTTTTATTTATGGACGGACGTGGTGGTTACCGAAAAAATCAACAAGCAACCCACGACTCCGCGACACGAAGTGGAAGTACTACGCCAACTGCCAAGGTTGCACCTCCCAAACCAGCGTGGCCCAGGTCTGACTCCTTTGCGAGAAGACGTTTAAAGGATCTTTGCAAACGGAAATTTTCAATCGGGCCCCATTATCAACGACTGCTTCAATCCCGTAGCCCGTCTCCTTTCTTGGAAACGTCCCCCGAATCGGCTACTGGAATTCCGTTACAATTGGGAGTATCTCATCGGAAAGCCGCCTCATTCGCAACCCGAGATCTTGGAGTCTCACTGGTGTCCAGTTTCCTGCCAACTCAGGTTGCAGAATTGGGACCGCCAACGAGTGATCTCAATAACGGGCCCCAAAATGATTGGTTCAACAATATTTCGCGTGACCACGAACAACCAACCCGGACCCCTAAACATTTTCACAGCCACTCGTCATCGTCTCTCGGCGACTACAGCAGCCACATCACAACTAGTTCCCTTTGCGACGAAATTCCTCGCCTGGGATCTCCATTTATGTACCATACTTGGGGCCCTGATAGCTCCCGCCGTCGTCTCCGTTCTGCCACACCGGCTAGTCAGTTTGACACAATCCACACAACTAGCTCAAAAACCCGATCACCTGGAGGACGCATAGATCAGTTTGGAAACGCCCACAAACGACGGGCCCTGCACCAGTTGGAAGATGAGTTGGACTCGAGCGGCAGCAGCCTCCAACGTCCATTCCCTGACCTCATCCACCAACCCAGGTACAATGATAATATGGGCCAACGGCGTGTTCGCGTGCGGAACAGGGGCATCACCACTGGCGCAATTGGTGGTTCACGAGGACGGTTGGACCAGCTTTTCAACCCTCCAGCGCATTTTGCGGAGTTTCGCGGCTCTTCCACTTCACTTTCTACTGGTACGGCTTCCACGACTAGTTCTACTACCGTTACGGCCACTACGACGGGGGCTTCCGATGACGGACAGAAAATGCAGCCACAGGATAATAATATCAATAATATTAATAATACTAGCCACCATTTGCGACACGGTGATGATATCAAGCGACTGGGTTCCCCTTTCCACTCTGACCCCTTCAATAAGTACAACAACCGGAAACATCTTACTCCATCCCACCCCCCGCGGCACGCGCCTTCGCTCTCTGATCCGTTTACCTCAACTTCCTTTGCCAGCATGCCCTCTGCTACTGCTAGGAATCTAGAACAACGTCACCCCGTACTAATGTCGAATTGTCAGGAAACCCCCAACAGTGAGAGTGCCATGACCACGCCCCGTGCGTACTTTGACGAAGAAAGGGGAGGGAAAGGAGGTTCGGGTGTTGGCATGAGCGTGAGTGCTGGGCCGGCAAATGGCGATGGTTTTAAGCTTGATACGCTTGATACGCCCAACACACCTTTCTCCTAGCTCCCTTTCCCTTCCCTTCTCCCAAACTCCCATGCGCAAAAAGGCGTTTTCGATTGGGCGGACCTTTGTTTTAACCAAAACGCTTGTTTAAAATATACTCTTCTGTACGACAACAATGACAACGACAACGACAACGAAAAAGGGCTATACTACAGGCATAGATCTCTTTTTTTTTATCCATGACGGCGACGAACTTGTGTAAAACATGCGACCACATTCATTGAAATACTTTCTCTTTTTCTTTCTTTTTCAAGTTTTAACGTTACTCTCTTTACCTTATTTCCTTTTATTTTCCCCCACCATCTTCACTTTTGTTGTTCTGTGATTATCCCTTTTGCGTCATGTTGGGATATATCTCTGGGCTCGAATAGGGTTTTGGCATGTGTTGCGGTTGGAACATGTCTGCCTGTCCGATCGCCTACTGGATTACTGCGCCCACAACGATAAACGCAACAGCATCTTTCTTATTCTGGGTCGACGTGTGGATTTTATTTTATCATAACGTTACCGGCAGCGTGACTTGACTATCGACGATATTAGCTAACTATAACCCGTTTCGCACTGCGCCGCTTCCCCCCAAAGGCTTTATGCAATTTTGCCCATATAAATGATGGGGGAAGAAAACAGCTCGAATTCGGAAGACAATATCTACCCTCGACAAACACCCCACAAACCCCCCCGGCCCCCCAAAGAACAGCTATCTATCTGAGCAACGATACGTTGTGATTGTATTGCACTCACTCCACACACACTCTCTTTACTTTTTCTCATTTTGTCCATTGCCATATTTTCTATTTTATACTTTCTTCCCTTCCGCTCCTCCCAATGAATAGATCCCTGCTTGCCTCCCTCCTTACTTTCCCAACCACGAAGCCTGCTACACAGAACGGAACAACGGACATAGTCGAAGAAAATAAAACGCAACGATAGAAATGGCCGTGAAACGAGCACCCAAATGAAGGCAAGGGGAAAATAACATCAAGTTTCCACTAGAAAATCATGATCAAAAATAATGACGTTGCCTACGTTTTGTGACAAGTCATGGAATAGGATGTTTTCTGTTTTGGGGGGATGATCCATGGGGATTGGCTGGGAAATATCATTTCGAGGCATTTATTATTATTATTGTTACTCTTTTCAATCTTTGCAAGCTTATGCAATCTTCATTTGCAATGCATGATAGATGGAACTTGTTCGCTTTATTTTCGCTCTTCCTTTCTTTTCTTACTTTTTATTTTTCTACTATTTTATTTATCTATTTCAGCGAGTCACAGCGACTCCGCACAGAAATGAAACGGACGGACGAACCATGATACGAATTATGACGAAGAGGGGAAAAAAATATGAAAAAAAAAGAAAAGAAAAGAAACAAGATTATTGTAAACCCCCCCAAAAAGAAACGGGTGCGGAGGTGGAGGAAGGGTCTCATCATTTGATTTGATTATCTTTTTGTCATTTTTCTTTTCATCTTCGTTCTACGTTATGCTACACACATACACATTCACACATATGGTCCATAACGATACACGCGATACATACACACAAACAACATATCTCCAGCTCATTTTCTGTTTCTTATTTCTTGTTTTCTAGCTTCTTGTTTCCATCAGCGTATTAATCTTGTGTGTCTTGTTCTTGGTGCTCTCAATGTTACTACTACTGTGCTGGGTTTGCAGTGTCTGGTCATGAATGAATTATCCTATCTAGAATACTGTATGGAATGAACTGAGATGAAATTGTGATTCTCTCTCTCTCTCTCTCTCTCTCTCTCTCTCATATTTAGATGTTTTTCTCCCATTTTTTTTTCTCACTGGTATGAGAGGAAATCTTGAAGTTTGGTTGCCATTGTGTATTCGACTAGTTATCAAAATAGATATTAAAAAAAAAAAATATAAACAACACAGAGAACATAGCAACACACCACACCATACCACATCACATCACACCTTACCTCCTGCAGTAATCCGATTGCCTTTCTTTCTTAGCAGAGAATAAAGAGAAGAGAATAGGACCAAGAACAAAAGAAGCTTATATATCCTGCCTCTAAAAAGCTCACGCTAATTATTTTATTACTTAAGTAAGGTATTCATAAGAAGAAGGAAAAACGGAAAACAAATAGAGGATATTGGATAAAGAGCAAAAAACCAAACGAACAAATCCACATAGAGAAGGGAAAGAAGCGGGAGGTATTTATTCTTTGATCATACACACATAAATATCACGAGAGGGGGTGGGAGGAGAGAGAAGAGAAGTAGCACCAACTGATGGGTGCATGCTAGGGGGTCTTGAGTGCAGGAGGCCCTCGATCTATGGTCCATATCACACCGTCCCCCACGCGAGCAGTTGCACAGCACAAATGCACGCATCCAGTGTCATACCTATTATATACACGTGGTGACAACACAATGGCGCTGGGGGGAAGAGCGGCTAAGGTAGGAGGAGAGGAAAAAAAAGAAAAAAAAAAAAAGAGAGGGGCGGGGGGGGGGAAAGAGACGCATTTTAATCGAGCTCATCATTGGCGTATTATTGCTGTATACGCTGGCTCCGGTTGCGAGGGGTGTTATGTATGCAAAGTCTTGACTGAGCGGGGTCATCGGGATTGTTGGTTGGTCATTTTGGTTCGGGATTGAAGGAGCTTTTTTGCTGAAGAAAGGGTTGCCTTGATCAATGGAGATGATAGAATGGAGACAGAGGTGACAAGATATATCAAAATTCGAGATTGGAGTTTAGGCCGAGCGGGATAGACGAAACATGAGCACAGGCGCTGTCACTCATGGTTTGCATGCAGAAGCATTTTAATTTTGATAAAGGATCCTCCGCACATCCACGCGCCTTACTTGGCAACTAGCTTCTCCAGTTTCGCTAGCTGTGCCAGTAGCCCCTTCTTTTCCGCATTCGCCACAAGCCACCCCTCCATCTTCTCCCGAATATACTTCATTGAATTCAGAACTGGCAGCGTGGGAGAACGATCGTCATTATCGGCAGTAAGACTTCCATTTTCCCCATCAATATCGGATCCTGGCGGTGTGAAAATTCCTCTCTCCATCCGCATCCACTTTTCGCCTTGAGGGTTAAGACATAGGTCAAAAACCTCAGCCCAAAGTTCCCGGTCCCAATACCGTTTCAGAGACTCCTTGATACGATATAGCTTTTTGGCTCCAAGTCCTCCAGCACCAGGAATACTCATATTTCCGTTCTCCCCACAAGAGGTCCGATTAGCAGTGGCAGGCGTAACCTCCATATACTTGCCAAAGAGGAGAATATGAATGGTACCCGCAAGCCCGTACAGATCGACTTGGTAAGTCCAAGGCCGGCATTCTCGCATCTCCGAACACTCATGTGCACCGATTTTCCAGTCTGCAATGAACTGGACGTTTTTTGGGAAGACTTGCATATCAATCGCGCGGCCAAAGTCAATCAAGGTTATTCCCCTATTTAGCCAGCCACCTGCACCTGTAGGCGAATAACCTGTCTGGGAGTTCAAATAAGAGCCGTCTTCTATGGCGGATGCGCGGGAGGCGAAATGTTTGCCTAATCTGACAAGACAGTTGTCCGCTTTCAGGTCGCCATGGAGGATATCGCAGGCATGCAGAGCTTCCACGGTACGAAATAGCTCCACAGCGAAAAACATAACCACAGTCTCATCGAGTCCTTGCTCCATCGATACGGAGGAGCCATTACTAGTAACATTAACAAGGTCAATCAGGGTTCCTTGGTTTTGATAATCTTCCACAAGGTAGCCTTCGTCTTTGAAAATATGCATTTCATGTGCCCTTACGATGCTGTCCGTTGCCCGACGATAAATCGGAGTCGAGCCAATGCGTGCGTGCGCAATTCGAAGCATGTAGAACTCCCAAGCAGAAGGAGTCTCTGATTCCACCTTAATTGCCTCCAGGCCCCGACGGTCAGCATCCCGTTGGGGTTTAAAGGGGCTCTCACTCGCAGAATGTTGACGTTTATTATTCACAATTCTGTCACCATTTTCTCGCCCAGAATCGGAGGTGAAAGTGTCTGGTGAGTCAACACTTTCAACCAGATATACAGGAGCAAAGCCACCTTCCCCCAACTCTTGATTGATAGCGTATCTCCGGTTTGCACCTGGAAAACACAGAACCGGGGGTGTTATGGCTGAGCGGTCGGTCCCGGCCACCTTAGAGTGTTTCGAGATACTTTTGATGTATTTCCGTATATCAGAGGCGCGGCATGCTTTTTGGCTACCGTGGTCATGGTAGCCCGGATATGTATGAAGGGAGGGATATATACTTTTGAGGATTTTCTCTCTAATTTTCGGTTCTATTGGATTGCATTGACATTCGTCAATGATCAGCTTCGATTTGCAGGGTGATTTTGGCTTCATTGGTGAGGCCTTCAGCTTCTTCGCAAGACGAGTCGGGAGGAACTCTCCCTCAGGCAAAGACGAAAACAGGGTATCGTTTCCATTGTGTGAATTCATGAATGGGGCTACTCAGGAGCAAGTCGTCCATCTCCGGTATCATAGGGGGTTGAAGTGCACAACTTTTTCTCGAGGG